GAACGCCACGCGCCATTCTCCATCTGGCCATAGACGCGGGATAGATATGCATATAAAAAAGGCCAGTGTCAGGCCTGAGGCCTGACCGGGTCCTGGTGCCTCCTGGCAAGCACGGACATCCGCGCACAAACTGCCTGCCAGTCCTTCCTCGTGGTTTGTGCTCTGCGCGACGGGATGATCCAATCTCAAGAATGCTGGGTGGATAGATCCACGTATTTCCGCGCATGGAGAGCAGGGGGGCATCAACAGTGAGACCAGGAGTTCCGCCGCCTACAGCTGTTATCGGTCCGTGCAATGATTCTGGGCATACTATGTTAGGCAACGAATGTCCATATGTGGCTCTGATCCACAGCGTCGGGACATCCTCGTCGTCGCACAAGCGCTTTAGCTGGAGGCGTGCTTTCGCAGCGCCCGACTAGTCCGTCAGGTTGGCGAGGTGTAGAAGTAACCGCGTTACATATCCGGGCGGTTGGCCGCGCGCCCACACGGCGACTGCGTCGCAGTGATGACCGCCCCAGATGTTGGCCATGACATCCACGACGGCCACCCGCCCATCCATCGTGGGGGTCCCAAGGCCAGCACGCATTTCAGGAATCGCTCATCATAGGTATTGCGAAGAAATGGCCTACGCGTGCAAGTGCGAAACCACCGCGCAGGCATATCAGTCATTTCTTCTTGCTGTGGTAAGAAAATATTCTCATTGATCCTTCGCATCAAGGTTTCTAGCCTTGTCTGTTCTCCCCGGATGCTCGCGGGCTGCACGTTGCGAAGCCTTCTGCGCAACGTGTCTCGCGATGCTTCGGCGGCGGGCTGCGTCGGCATAACAGATGGACCAGGATCGTTACCCCTGTCGGGCGCGTCCGCCCCGTCTTGGCGCGGAGAGCCCGCGGGCGCGCCCGCCCCAGCTAAGGCGTCGGCGCCGTCCTGCTTAGGGGGCGTAGCCTTTGACCTTGGCACAAGTAGCGCGGTCGGCGGGCGCCTCAGCAGGCGGCCCGCCCCGGAGCTTCGCCCGCGCGGGCGGGGGCGACTCCGCTTGGAGGCCATCCGGCTTGGGCTGCGGGCGTTTGCCGGCGGGCAATGGTCTCGGCAATTTGCCAGCGTCGCGGCTCTGTTCTTCTTCTGGAATTTGGAGGCAGGTCCCTTGTCGCCTTCAGCTTTCTCATTGCTGCCGCATCAGAAGGGGCGCCGGGGTATGACTTGTCCCTGCCCGTGGCCGAGCTCGAACCTCCTGGGCCTACGACAAACTGTTTCGGTGCCCAATTACCTCGAAAAGCCGGGTCCGCCTGTGACCTTTGCGGAGCCGGCTGATCAGGCATAGGTGTCGAGCTGCCTCTGAAGCGTTCAACTTTCTCCTTGACGCTGCCTTCGCGTTCAGCAGGGCCGCGCTTGCCCTCGCCCCTGTATTTGCCCCCCCAGAAATCGGGGGATTCCCCCGGGTCCACCTCTTTCTTGGTCTGGACGCAATTTCTCCTTGCGAGCGGAGCGGCGTTGTCCTGGGCCTCCTGGGCGTGTCCGCCCGTTTCCATGTCGGCGTCGCTTTCGCCCTGGGCGCGCCCGCATGGTGGCTCGGCTGGCGAAGTTGGCGCAAGGGGCCGCTCGCCCTGCCCCCCCCCCCCCCCCCCCCCTCCATCTTCCCGTCTGCCGCTCGAACCGATGCTGGAGGGGCGCAGGGGCCTCGGTCCTAGAAGCACCAATGATCAGATCTGTCGCGTTCAGCTCGCGCGATGGCGGGGAATACTGCGGGCGCCGCCGCCACCGTCGTCAGCGGGAACACCCCCCGGGCGTCGGCGCCGCCAGTCCGCGCTGTAGATCTCGAGGGCGCGAGTATCGTCCAGGTCCTCATTCTCTTATTGCTCCTTGAGCTTCCGCGTCAGTCAACGGGGTGCAATCCACAATGGGCGCGGCCGCCCTTCCGCCTATGCCATCGCCGCGACCGGGGCCCATGGCGTCTGGCCGCGATGATGACTGCGAGATGGGCGGTCAATCGGGCAGTCACCGCGATGCTGACTGTGAGCGGGGCAAGGACATATGCGGCATTCGCTGCGTTTCTGGATCAGATCTCGCTCGAATGCCCGCTTTTCGTCACTACCTCTGCTGCGACTTTCCGACGTTTTGATGATGTATCCCCTTTCGTCACGGATAACGCAATGCTTTCAAAACCACCACTGTCGAATGTGTACCTGTGTAGCCCTGCTCGAGAAAATAGTTCACGTCGGATTCGTCGATCTCCGCGCACGGGCCCCAGTCGTCGCGCGAGAAAGAGGCGCGCCCCACGCCGGAGGAGGCACGCCCCTTTCCCCAGCCTGTATCGCTGGAGCTCACGCCGCACATGGGCTCGGCTGACTCAGCGTAGCCTTTGCCCTTAGAGTGGCCGGCGCCGCGAGAGTGACTGCGGCCGCGGCCAGGACCGCCCGTGTCCGAGCTGCATTTTCCAGCTGTACCTGGTACGCCTGCTGCGCGATGGGCCGCTGAGCTGCGGCCGCGGCGGCTGCTCCCTTTATCGCCCTCGTAGGGCCACCCGAGCCGATTGGGGCCTTCCCAGACTCACCCACCATCATCAATGTGTTTGCGCGGGTCTGCCCCCATCCCTTTGCAGCCCGCCCCTCCTCCGTGAGTCCGAACACCGTCGGGGCTGGGAGCGAGTGGAGCCGCGTCTGCTCGTGTCCGAGCTGTTCCATTATTTCTGCGTCGGTGGCGGGCGTGGTCCACGCGTCGGACGCGCAATCGTCTTCGTCGCCGTTGTCGTCGGAGTCTTCCCGCGCGTGTACGCGCCAGCGCGCGCCGACGCAGTCCTCGAAGGGGGTGTCGTAGAACTCTTCGATCCCGTCGTGGAGACGCTCGGTATGTCGCCCTAGCGGGCAAAGTGGGCCATCAAAAACCAAGCAGAACTGGTTCGAGAGCATGAGGGGTGGTAGATCTCGGGGAAATCAACGCACTCGATAAGATTCGCTTCGGGTCGCTCTGAAACAAGAAGTACGGACCCGTCCATTTTTCCACCCCCTTGGAACATTGCGCTTGGAAGTGTTTGTACCCCCCCCAGGTGTTGCATGTCATCCATTTTCCCATTCTTATCCATCGATTTAGCCTGCATCCCTTGCCCTGACCTGTTGTCTGCCTACGTCTTCTGCCGCTACCTTTACCTTCTAAGAATAGGTCTTTAAAGTCGTAGTCGGTGAATCGAGCCAGGAACCCGGCCATGCCTTTGCTGTGCAATCTGCGGGTGCGCCTACCACCTTTGCCGCGATTCCTTCCTTTACGGAAGAAGACGCGACGTGCAGCTCGCCTGATTTTTTTGTTGCTTGTCATGCGTCGCCATCACCTTCTTTTGACGCCATGATATCCTAAGACCCTAAGTCTACGCACTGCGCAGCTGCGTCATCACCGGCAAGCAGGTCTGACCAGCCGAGGTTTTCAGCACCGGTAGAGGAGACCGCATCGGTATCCGCACTGGAATCGAATGCGTCGTCGTCTTGTTGGCTGGGTGAGCCCCAGAAGGTATTCGCGTCAGGTGGTGTGTAGCTGGCCGCTGAAGGCCAGCCCATGTTTGAGCCAGACGCTTGTTCGTTGTTGTTGTGGGCGCCTTGGCCTCACAGCGTCGGGGACTCAGCGGGCTCTCCGTCATTCCAGATGCTGTTCGGAATGGCTGCCGGGGTGTCGCTTGTTTCGGCGTGGTGTAAGCCAGCGCTGCGTCCTGCTGAGTCTGCTCCCGCTGTGGCCATCTCGAATCGGGCCAGTACTGAGTCGATACGATTCTGTCGACTCTGAAATCGAGGAGGGTTGTCCCTGAGGTGTGCTGGCGATCGTCCTCAAGGATTTGAAATTTGATGCGTACCAGGTACATGATGGATGTGACTCAATCGGTGCGTTTCCCCCGCAGTGTGACACCGTAATTGACGATTGTGGACGGCACCCTCATGGCTATTGTCCTAAGCGGTCCCCCTGGGCCGCGCTGTAGAGCCGTTTCCTGTTGGGGTGGAGTCATATTTCCGCTCGTGACGTTAAGCCACGCGTGTATTTCGCGAACAAAGTCGCGGAAGGGTGCGTTACTTGCGGGGCCCCAGAAGGGACCCCGAGTGCGTGTTTCATCCAGTCCTCCTCCTCGCATGTATGCCACGGCAAGACCAATGCACACCCAGATAGTTCCAAAGATCGCGATTTCAGTATAGTGCGTGGTCATGTTCTCATCGATGATGTTAGGTTGCTTACCGCTGGATATTGTAGCGTCCGTAAGGTTGCGACTGGGTGTCTGGTCCGACGAGGCCGTCAACTTGCGGATAGATATCGGTGCTTGGGTCGTGCGTGGCGTGTGGCCACGCAGTGGGGAAATTGAGGTATAGGACTGCAAGGTACCACTTGGTTCGAAAGCATTGGGGTGTAGTGGCTGAGAGCCGGCGCAGTCGGGTACTCCATTGTGCCGGGGTAAATTGTTTTGTACAGAACACCTGTTGTAAGAGCTGGCCACATGAAGATGTAGCCAACTCTGCTAACAAGTGAAAAGTAAGGGTATGGGGATTGACCGCGAAGTAACAAGCTGGACACCCTATTCTTAGGATAACATCGGCGACGAATCGAGGCATCCCACAACTCATCCCCTGATGGCAAGCAAGGCGAGAGGTAAGAAAGAAGCCATGGGATCGGGAGATGGATCATAAAAGGACGTGGCCTTTGTCCGTTGCTATGAACCACGAATGAAAGTACACAGGGCGGTGCACTTAGCATGTAGGACGGCGCCGTCTTGAGCCAAGACATCGTCGGATATAGCGTTCGCTATGCAGATGTTCCTTCAACATCGGTTAAAGTTAAACTACACGTTGCTCGTCATCAGTACCCACTGCATGTTTGCACGTGCACGTGTCATTGACGTCCCAAGTGCTCTGGCACTTCACACGTACATGCGGTGGGGGATACGCAGAGATATCCAATTATCGTGATGTGATCGCTGTCCTTCTTCCTTGTCCCCTTCCCGCCTAGCTAAAAACATGCCAGCCACTTCCCACGACCTCCACACATCAGAATTCCACCTGGAAGCTTCACGTTGCAGCATCTCCACTCCCCACACTCCGCTAGTGGTCTCACCTTGACACCACGCTTGAGAGCAAGAGCTATGGCCTACCATGCCTTGCACAAACGCACTGAATCTAAGTCACAACGTTGCGCGCAATGAATGCCGTGTCAAGCGCATCAAAGGCGTACAACATGCCATGCTTCCCCTAGACTCCAATGAACATATCCTCTTCTGACCCTAAGAGCAAGCAGCTGTCAGACAAGCAAAAACGTGCGCGCGCCCGCTCTCTCTCGCTCTCTCTCGCTCTCGTTCTCATTTTTTGGCATCGCGGCCACGCGCGCGCAGCGATGCGTCGAAGTCAGGCGGTCGAGAAAGCCGAATGGGAGTGTGCTGACCGCGGCGGGGCACTCGGGCAGCCCAGCAGGGACGCGTAGGGTTCACCCATAGCCCATAGGGAACCGCGCAGCACGGAAGTCTCACAAAGCGGCAGCCGAGCGACGAACGGGTTCGCAGGATTGGGGGCAGTAATGAGCTCGAGCGCTCGGGAAAAGCTCGGAGGATCAGCCGAAAGAGGGAGCGAAAGGAGGATCGGGGCAACCAGAGGGACGGCAAGGTTGGAGGCAGGCAGGTGCTCAAGCGCACCAGGATGGACAGTGGCGGACCGCAGAGGGTTGCCAATGATGGGGCAGCAAGACCGAGGCGGGGCAAACAGACCGAGCGGCGGATAGGGGAAGCAAGCAGTGCGGAGGTGGACAGACGGGGGGGACCAGTCCGGCCAACGAAGCAGCAAGGCGGCCGACGGGGAGGGGGAAAGGACCGAACGGGTGGCGCCGGAAGGACAATGGGCCAAGGTAGGCCCACGAGCCAACAAGGAGGGGCAGTGGACAAGCATAGGAGCGGCAGGTGGAGCTGAGGGGCTTGCGGGTTTGGGCCTCGCCGCTGGGCCCCCGCAAATATGCGCCGTCGCCCGCCGGCAGGGCCAACGGATGGCAGTCGAGAGCGGTAGGGGGGCATGGGGCCCGCCCTTGACGAAGGTGCGGGAGGGTGACGCACCCTGCGCCCAGGGCGCCAAGACCGGGTCAGGCGTGAGAGGTGGCCACGGCGGGCCAACCAAGCGCCGTGCAGGCCCCCAGGGTTCCACGCCGTCAGTACCGAGAGAAGGGGGGCGGTTACGGGAGGAGGCGGCTCGCGCACACACGCACACACACACACACGCGCGCGCACACACACACACACGCACACACACACACACACGCACACACACACACACGCGCATACACGCACGAACACACATGTATACATATATATATACATATTTATATACACATGTGTATACATATATATATATATATATATACATATATACATATATATATACATATATATATATATGTATACATGTGTATACCAGAACCATCGCACGCGCCCAAGTTCTAGCTAGGCTCGACAGACTAACGCATTGAATCTCGATTCATCTAACGACCTTCTTGGAGTCCCTGCGCAAGCCTCGGGAGCGTAAAGAAAGGGAAATGCGGAAACCGCAAAATCATCAGTTTCCGGTCGTTGTTCGATGATGATGGGCCCTCGAAGGCTTCCTGGGATCTTCCTTGGTTGGGGACGGGGGCTTTAATTATGGCCTGCTTTGCAGAACAAAGCAGGGGGGAAGTTTGAAAAACACATGCAATTCTTGGACTTCTTTTTTAAAAGTGCCATGCCTGGGCCGTGGGTCAGAAGTTTCCTGTATACAGGCCGTGGACCGTTGGGACGCTTCAGGGGGCCTTCGGGCCGCGTCTTGGGAGTATTGGGAAACTCTTGGTGCCTCCTGGAAGCCTCCCGGGAGTCTCTGAAGGCATGTGGGGGGCGTCTCGAAAGCCTTTGCGACAACCTTGGGGCCATTTTGAGGCAAAGCGCTCGAAAGGCTTGGGCATGTCCTCTCTTATGTCTCTTTCTTGGCGCGCGCTGACGTTTTAGCTAGGCTGGACAGGTGAACTCATTGGATATCGGTACTTACGGTGGTTTCAGGGGCAGCCAAGAGGACACGAAGACGACCCAAGAGAGTGCCTAGATAGCGTCAGAAAGTTCAACAGCACTCCCGATTTGCAATGCGACCCCGAAGTGTTGATGAGGTTCGGGATGAACTTGAAGAGAATCACTGGGTGTCCTGTTCTTTTTTGTTCCATGTGGGGCCTCCTAAAATGTAGCGCGCAGGAATCGGGGGGTTCTCAGAGGCGTGCAGGGGGCTCTTGAAAGGCAGTTTGGGGGCCGCTGGGGGGCTGTTTGGGGGCCTATTGTGGCAACGTTTGGGCTTCTTCAGGGCTCCTGCGGGCCTCTTCAAGCTCTTTGGGGGACTCTTGGGGCCTCCTGGAGGCATATTGGAGCGGAGCGCCGGGATTGTCGATTTGCGTTTCCCCTGTTGGCCTGCTTTTCGGGCCATCTCGTGGCTCTCTTGGGCTGCCTGGGGGCGCTCTTGGACCGTCTTGGGGCCTTCGTGGCTCGTATTGGAGCCGTTATATATATATATATATATATATATATATATAGCTCGCCTACCTTTCCCTCCCGCCAGGCTCACTTTGTGTGAAGGGCTGACCAGGCAAGTAGCTTCGAGATATCGATGCCGAAGGACGCCAAGCCGATAGCACACACCCTTCTTGAAAGAAGTTGCGTTTACAGCTTGCTGAGCAACGATGCAGAGGAGGGGAAGGCAGAGGAAGGCACAGCACAGACACACACCCACAGAGGCACGCGATAGAGGGAGGGAGGGAGGGAGGGAAGACTCGAGCGTGGCAATTGCGGCGGGATCCAGGATGGGCTATGCGTAAACATGTGACATGTGACAGCTCGCCTACCTTTCCCTCCCGCCGGGCTCATTTTGTGTGAAGGGCTGACCAGGCAAGTAGCTTCGAGATATCGATGCCGAGGGACGCCAAGCCGATAGCACGCACCCATACCCGAATGGTGGCCTGGCCGACTTGTAGAGAATGATAAGGATGCCGAACTAATACTATCTCCTGTTTCAAAAACACCTTCGTGTTTTCAACACTCAAGAACACAATGATACATCAATTGCGTATTTGGCAAAACTCCGAGCACGTTTGTCTTCGAACGATCGCTGCATCACACGACTAAACTTCTGAGCGAAAACTTTAGGGCATTCAGCAGCCAGACGGGTAAAATGAAGACCATCGGGAGCGTGCCCGGATAATATCACATGCAGTTTTTGCGCATTAGAACAAATGCCCGATTGACCAGAGCAGCGGAGGCCGAGACTCAGCAGCGGGAGCGAGTACCAAGCGGCGACGCTAGTCGCCTTCCGCCAAGGAGCCCCGCACTGGCACATGTGGAGCTGGACCTTCTGGGCAGAGGCTGCCCGCGATAGCCTGGCCAGCTCAAGGGCTCGCCGCATCAGTGAGCCAGCTGGATTCTCGAGGTAGACGGCAACTTTCCATTTCATGGCCAGGCGGATGACCTTACAAGTGAACCTGAAGGTCGCACTGCCGACGTCCAGCCGCGCCTGCTCGCTCGGGGAGAGGCCCGGCAGCCCCGGGGGGCGCTGCCGGGGGCGCAGCGGCCGCCGCAAAGCCTGACCCCAAGTAGTGCACGGCGTCCCGAGCCAAATGCCGGCAACGCAGCCGGCTGTGACCCAACCGTGGAGAACCTCAAAAAAACTCATGCACCAAGTGACTCTCGCGGGCACCGCGGCTGATGTCGAAGCCCACCGCCGCGAAACCCTCGGCCTTCAGCGCGGCTGCGATGCATCCTTTTCCACGGAACAGCTCGACAAATACAAAACGTCTGCGCAGCCAGCCCTCGCCAACAGCCCCGCGGAAGGCTGCCAGCATGTGGGCCCGCGCGGCGCCTGGGGCAGCTGTCAGCGGCGGCGCGGCTTCCGGCCGCAACCTGCTGCGGCCGCCGCCAGGCTGGGCCGGGCGCCCACCAGGCCGGCCAGGGCGGCGGGCACCTGGCCCCGCAGCGGGCGCGGCCCGCCGGCCAGGGCGCCCTCGATCACGCCCCTGAAGTTCGCCTCGACCAACTTGCCGAACGACGGCGTGGTGGCAGGCGCCCAGTGGAGCTCGGCGAGCAGCTTCGACTCCTCCGCGTACCGCTCCATGCTGCTGCTGTGGCCCCATCTGCCTCTGCGCTGCACCTGCTCCGGCGCGCGGAGGCCCCGAATGATGTCCCCCGAGGCCCCCCCCGCGGCGCAGCGAGCGCAGGTGGGGGCGGAGGCGGCTGAGCGACAGGTGCTCGGCCGCCTCGGCGAAGGCCCTCTTGTACTCGTTGAGGTCGAAGTCCCTATGGAGGTCGTTGTCGCGCGGGTGGGCAATCTGCAGCAGCACAGCTCCTGGCCAGACCCCCCACCTGTCACCCCCCCCCCCGCGGAAGGGAAAAATACGAGTAGGAGAACGTGTGAGAGCGCATGCTTGGTTGAGCCCGTGCATCTTGGACGCGTGGAAGTATGCGCACATGGCCCGGCACAACATGTCAGTGTGGATGTGCACGCACGCGACCCGGATAAAGACAACAGAGTGGAACACAATGTGCACGACCCGAACAAAGACGAAGTATATCCAAATGAACACGCACGCGCGCAAGATGAATACGCACACGCGGAGGAAGAGACAATAATGGAAGAAGAAGCACACGCACCAGAACAACAACACGAATATCACATCTGGGATGCGCACGGCCCGAACAAAAACGAAGTATATCCATATGAACACGCACACGCACAGGATAACTACGCACACTTGGAGGACGAGGCAATAGTGGAAGAAGAAGAAGAAGCATACGCACCATAACAACATCATGAATATCATAACTGGGGAGAGGAGCGGGAAGAGGACAAGCTGAATCTCCCTCGTCTCCGGCGAAGCCATGCAGTGTGTCATCTGCATTTTCCCGCCGCCGCGCAAGAGCAGCCTCCCGCGCAAGAAAAAGTTGACCATGGTAACCCTCGCTGCACGTTCTCCCACCCACAGGATGCTTGTCACCGAGTGTGGGGGGCCTGAGGGCGCGCGCCGGTGCCCCTGGAACTGGCA